AATGGAAGCACCAAGGCTAAAAGCTTGCTAGGCTGAAACACCTGAAGTCCAGGACAAAATCATGAACCAAGCAAGCCAAAGCAAGCTACAGACAGCATGGCTGACGGCGTGAAGAGCAGGAGAGGGGCTCCGTCTCCCACCTTGCGCTTCGTGAAATGCACCACCTTTTTCTGTGCTTACAAACACTGGAAGTCATCACATCGTTGGCCCATTTATCTCAGCACTGTCTCTGCACTTGTTGGCAGGGCCTCTCCAAGAGCTTTAGAAAGGCATCTGTGCTAGCTTGCCCTGGAGATACAGGGCCTGGGTCCAGGACCTTTCGCACGCACAGCATATCTAACACTGAATGATGGTTCTTGTTTGTATAGCACTTTCAAATGTTATTATTCTGTAATCTTTGCAACAAACCTGTCAGACCAAGTCAGTACTATTATCCCATTATCAGGGGCTTATGATCTTACTGAAGTCAATGGCATTTCTAGAAATATACCAGCTAGTACCTTCTCCACCTAGGTCTTGGTGTGATCCTCTATCAGCAAACAGTAGAAGTAAGAATGCAATTTATGAAATGCCTCCATAGTTAGTCCTGGGATTGACTGTTTTCAAAGTCTTATCAATAATGACTGCAAACATTCAAAAGCAGAGCAAAAACAGCACAGCCGATGACGGGGCAGTCTGGTGGAAAGGATGGACTTAAATGAATCCAGTATCTAATTTTAAATGGACATGGGTGGTTTTTTGCTATAGACTATGAGTGACACATTTTACTAGATCAAAGTCTGCTGACGTGCAGTAAGATTTGGCAGGATGATACAAATGGCCACTGGTTTAAGAAGACTCACCCTGGAGTACTTTTAGTGTGGATTCAGTGACGTTTAGCCACACTGACACTGATAGATTTATAATCTATCCAGATCTCCCAAGCATTTTTTCTTTTTTGTATTATGAGACTATGAAGATACTTTTTTCAAGTTTCTCTACTAAAGGTTGAAAAGATCACAGCTTGCAAATTGCAGAAAGCTGACTATTTTCTCAAACAGAAATTCCATTCAGTAACTATAAGTGCTGCTTTGGAAGTACCAAGAGGTTCCCGAAAACAAAATGTTTTTAAAATTTCAATTCCTTGAATGTGAGTAAATATGGGTAAAGGTAAATATAGGCTAAATTATAGGTATATAAATCCTAAATGTCTTAGATAAACTTACCAGAAGTTTGTCCTTACTGGAGTTTACCTATGTATTTTAGACAAACGCTAAGTATTTCTAAACACTTTTTGAAACAGAATATTCTATGGATCTTCTGTGCAGTTTGGAAAGGTAGTTTGCTTATCTATATTTTTCTGAATATAAATGCTGTACAGTTTAATCATAGACTAGAATCCCAACTGTTGCAGGAAATCTGCTGCTATGGAACCCCCTGTAGGTGGCCATTGATCCTTTGCTTAGAAACCTCAAATGAAGGACAGTTGATCACCACCTCCTGAGGCAGATGATCTTGTACCACCAGGAAGTTCCTTTTCCTGTCATCTGGTTCAGGTAATATGCTCTGGGGAAAAAACCCTGCATTGTCTGATCCCTTTCAAACATCTGGCTATTAGACTGCTTTTTAATCTTCTCCCCACCAAGTGAACGCAACCACCTCCTTCAACTTTTTCTTGCAGGACTTGTCTCTGTATCACCCACTATGCTTGCCACCGTCCTCTGGACATATTCCAGTCTCCTTGATAATCTGCAGAGTCAGAAACTGGACTCTGGACTCCAGGTGAGGGCTAACCAAACAAGAGTAGACTGGCACCAATATTTTCCGTGGGCTGAACGCTGTATGTTTGTTGATGCTGCGAGGAATTGTTTTTAATTGCTTTGGCTTTTAAGCAGGCACATCACCATGTGGATTGATGTTCACTTGTAGTCTACTAAAAAACCGAGCATTCTGCTGTCAAGCCAGATCTCATCCACCCATCCGATATCTGTACACTTGATTTGTCCTAACTATACACATTTATCACTGGATAACTATCTCTGCTGGCATTTGTCAGTTCTGGCCCCGTTCTCCATCCTACCAAGATTTCCATCTGCTGTCGTATTAGCCACCCCTAGCATTTTGGCGTTGCTTGATGTCATCTGCAAATTTTAAGCATCTCTTCAGTGGCTTCATTCAAGTCACTGAGGAACATGTTACGGCACCCTAGTCCTTGGACAGATCCCTGTAACATTCCACTTGCCTTTTCTTTTCAGGTTGACAGTCAGTCAAAATGAACACTTTTTGGTATCCCCAACCAGTTACAAATCCTCTCAGCAACAGCACTGTCTACCCCAACCTTACTAGCTTGTCAACAAGAACCTAGCTGGGAACCTGGTTGAAATTCTTCCTGAAAACTAAGTATACTACAATCCACAACATTATTTAACCTGTAACTCTGTTCCTAGTTGGGGAGTTTGTTTTCAGTTTTTCCAGAATAGCAGTCATGACCCAAAGTTTTGCTACAATGACCCAAAGTTTTGCTACAAACTCTCAGGGAGTTCATACATGTCAAATATTCACTATCAAACTATGGAATTAAAGTCACTCTTCACCTAGCTTGAGCATACTTATTAGGAAAATTAAACACAGTTTTGTAAGTAAAGATATGACTGATGCTTGAAATCTTTAATGAAAATGTTGCTCAATTAACTTACTCCACAATCTTACTCCACCAGACCATCTTACTCTACCATATCACACACTAATCTCAAACCCACAGGCTTAAAAAACAGAAATACTTTTAACAGTCAGCTGACAGGTACCACTATGTAAAGTTGTTGAATATGCCCTCTGGTTTGGCTATAAAGCAGTAACTGGGGTGGGGGCGTCTGCTGACTGGGGTTCCTCCAACAACTCTTTTAACTTGTTTTCTGAGAGAGGGAAACAAGGAGGCTGCATTAAAAAGAAAAATGAAAAAGAAATGTCCTAGAAAAAATCAGGTGACCTCACGCAGGCTTTTTCATCACCTGCTCCCCCTTTGTTCAGTGAGACCAGGCCAGGTGTGTTCCTGTTTGTTGAACAGGTGCTTGCTGGTCCGACCATAAAGCATGCGCGTAGTGGTACCCCCAGTGTACAGAAAGTGCATGTGGCCATGGAGGCCAGGTGTGGTCTGGGGTGGAGTCCACTTTCCCGTACTTCCACAAAGGTGAGAGGAATGATAGCTGTTCTGCTTGCCTATGCTAAGGGTACGACTTCCACCTTCTGCTCTTACAGGACAAGGTAAAGCAACATCAAAGCATCTAATATAAAACGATGCTCCTTGATTAGCAGGAGTGGGGACACGATGCAGGTCCAGAACAAAGGAAAAAAATGGATTAGAAAAAAATGCACACACAGCCAATGATCAGAGTGTTGGCCTGGGACTCAGGAGATGGATGAAGCTCAGCGGGTGACTTTGCGCTAGTCACTGACTCTCTAATCTACTTCACAGTTCTTGAGAAGATAAAAATGGAGAACAGGAAGAGAATCATATAAGTTGCCCTACATTTCTTGCAGAAAAGGCTGGGATACAAAAATAATTAACAATGAGCTCCTTACATCGTATGATTACAGAGCCACAACCACACCACTCCATCCTTTAAAAAAACATACATGCTGCTTTAAAGGAACACTTCTGTAATGGCAAATTCCCCTTAATGTGACTTAGGACATCGTGCTAGGTTTCAAAATGACTTCTAGGGACATCAAAATGACTTGTAGGGTAGCAACAGCTGCTAGACAAAAAGCATAAGCCAGGAGCAACACTGTAGCAAACATCCTATGAAAAGAGAACCAAGATATTTGCAATATAAGAAAATAAAACATATGTGAAAGAAACAAATTAGCTGTTCTAGGATTTGATAAATAAATTAAAATGTGCCATCAAACTGAACAATCTAAGATTACGGGGACTGATTCATGTGGGCACAAGGAACTTTCCTGTATGTTTGTTTCTAGAATTTTGAAAATATTGGAAGGCCAAGAGCTGAAGTGAGTTTAGCGCTTCTTTGGTGTATGTAAGTCAGGCTCCACTCTCTTTCCGATTTAACAGACTTTCTCCCATGGCTTTATGCACTGGAACAGTCTATCTAAATGCTCTTTCTGCAGAAGAGGGAACACTCCAGTAGGAAGATAGGCATTCAGCAAACCCCCCAAAACTAGGCATTCAGCAAACCCCCCAAAACTAGGCATTCAGCAAACCCCCCAAAACTAGGCATTCAGCAAAACCCCCAAAACTAGGCATTCAGCAAAACCCCCAAAACTCAGGGAACAGTATTAGGGCTGCTTTCTATCTTCTGTGCCCATGTAGATGCCAATCCAGCTTCTAGTACTTTGATCTCTATTTTTACCATTTCTCAAATTAATAGAAATATTCAAATACATGCAGAGATCAACCAGAAAAGGGCAATGATTAGCAAGCGATCTTGAGGATTGCTGATAGATGTTCTTAGAAACTTCTGATCTGAGGTTCCCTCAAAATCTCAGAGTGACACTGTGCAGCCTTCTTCCTAACCAGGTTAAGCAAAAATACGAATTATTCTATATCATTCCGCTGACTTTGTCCTTTCAGTGTTTAAGCTTTCTGGAAAATACCAATTCGCTAGTTATACTTACTGTATGGAGAAAGGGTAGTTAACATTTGAAATCTGATTTAACCCAACCTCCCCTGCCCTCCCCTCCCCTCCCAAGTTAATTAGACGACTCATGTATAACAGACCACTACTGAAATGACCATAGATCAGTTGGGTTAATTACACAGGGTTAGGAACAAAAAACACAACCGTGTAACATTAGACACAGCTACACCGTTCTTTGCAATAAATGTTAACTCTAAATAAGTGCAACCTGTCTGTAAGTACTTGCTAGAGAACTACTTCAAAATAAAGTTTGATGGGTAAAGAACATGAAGAAAAAAATTCTCCAGGAGAATTTTTTTTAGTAAGTACCAGCACTCATTTAGAGTTTGGGATTTGTGAAAGAAAGCTTTAAAAGGAGCAAACCTGATTGGCTGTGGCTGTTGCGGCGAAGGGGACGCTTGCTGCAGGAGTTGCTGCTGCAGAGACAGTGGCGGACGTAGCGCTGTGCATCATGGGTACTTTCAGGAGGGGAGCCATGGAAGCAATGAACAGGAGTGTGTAGCATTATGGTAATGGAAGTGGAATTTTGGCATGGTGAATATCAGAGCGGCAAGCCATCATGGGTTAAACCGGCAGATGGCATGCAATCACAATGCAAAGCAAGAAAGCGTGGCAGAGAAATAAAACAAAAGGGAAAATAGCTTATTACAAGTACAATTTAAAGGAGGTTTGTCACAGTTATCAGCGATTCCCAGAAAAAAAAGGTTATTTTGGGCTTCTTGGTTTTTTTCTACTTAATCATTTGACATTCAATTTGTGTTTTCATGAAGATAGTCAGTTCATTTAAGGAAAAACAGTCATGTTTTCCCCAAATTACAAAAGAAATCTAGTAGCACGTGCTCCTGATGAAAATGTTACAAGTATGGTAGAACTAGCGGAACTGGGAATTCACTTATAAGAATCCTAATTGCTTTCATCCATGCAAGTAAAAGACATCTCTACTTCCGTAAGTTCACCTCCATCCCGTTCTGTTTTCAAAGGTTTCTCAACCCTCAGAAGCAGATTTTGGGGGTCGTGCGTGCAGCTGCAGTGGAAAGGAGAAAGAAGTCTGGCCCAATTCGTACTTGTCTTCACAAGTACGAATGTTAAAGCTACTGGCGTTCACAGTTATTTTCCAGCAGAATTTCTCTACCCAAACCTTTTACTTTCACTGCAAGCCTGTTTAGTATCTATTTGGCTCTTAAATCCTTTATCCCATTACACTTTCCTGGTGTTATTCTGAACTTTGTTCTTGTAGTACAAGCCACAGTGTGGGCTGATTGTTGAATCTTGGGTTGTTGTACTGAATGAACCTTGCCATGTTAACAAACCAAGAAGAAACCATGGTCTGTTGCTGGGTTGTGAATTCTGAGTTGTTCATAGTTTATTAGCACTGCAAGGATCACACATCACAACGAGCCACAGTTCAAGAACCCAAACTCTACCCAAGCTTGTCATGTTGTGTGAACTAGAATAATATTTGGGCCTGACTTTTCTGAATGCATACAGACAGCGTGTTACCAGTATCAAAATCTGCTTCTTGTCATCTTTTTCAAAATGTAGCCTCATTTTGGAGCAGCCAGATCAAACAGTCTATGCTCATTATAGAATTAAGCTACTGAAGTCTCCTTCCCACTGAAGTCTATTTTATGAACTCTTTCCATAGCAATGAATGCAAAAATCTTCTACGGAAATCATTGCACCCTCCAGTTGCAATGATCATGTTACTTTTCTCTTCAAGGCAGCAATTGCAAGAGGTAAAGCCCAGCAAACACAGGGAAACCTACTTCATTGGATTGTGCTGTAGATCTTTATCCTGGCTCTGTGGTTTTCCATCACTTTCAGGGTGCAGAACACTCTTCTTCAATATAGATAGCAGAAGCAATATGGGACATGTCTTGCATAGCATTTTTAGCCATAATCTAGCTTTTTCCACTGCTTGTAATAACCGCCCTATTCCTAGTGGCCACTTTTCTTTGTGGTACCATAAATGTGTAACCACAATGATTAAGGCTCCCCAACTCTCTCTTTCATCAAGCGTTTGCCCCTTTGGCTCCATGCTGGGCTTCCTCAACTGGTACTCTGTAGGCAGGTCGGAAAGCGACTCCCACTGGACTGCCAATGATCAGGAATGCTGGGACTTCAGTCCAAAACATCTGGAGGACCCCAGGTTGGGAAAAGCTGATCTATGTTGATTCCTCTTCCCCAGTTCACTACTGCATTTTGCTCGATTATGCAAAGGACTTCCCTCTTTTAATCTCTCAAAATATCCTGTTTCTAGCATAAAGAAAACCAGGTGACATTCTTAAGTAAACGGTTAACACATCATCCTTGTATCAAGAAGCTGTTAACTGCTTATGATAATGCCTTCCCTCCACCAGCAATAATTTGCCATATTGGTTACTAAACCTACAATTTTCTATCAAACTTAAGAGTATGACCTTTTATTTATGAGTATAATGTACTTCTTGCTTTAATACTGGAAATGGAAAAGATTAAATGATTACATAGAACTTAATTCTGATTCTATATACTCTAATGTTAAGTTTATTTTTTTACTTTTGAAAAGACCCTTTGATACTACTGAAGATACATCCCATTGGATCTGCATGACTCTCAGATTTAATCTGATTCATTTTACTGTCTGGAATAATTTTCCTAATTTAGCTGGTAATTTCTTTGCTCCAAAAGAGGAAAACAGATATTAAGGTAATTTAGTTTCACCTTACTTAGTACACTTTTATGGATAAACTGTTATGTGTTTAACCAGAACACAAAGGAAACATCTGAGCTAAACATTTATTTCATATCCTTAATTCAAAGACAACAGATGTTATCAAACTAAATTCATGCCACTGGATCATTTTAATACTCAAGACTAATCTGGGGAAACAAATTAGTTGAACACACTTTTAATTTTTAAAACAAGTAAGACAACCTTTCAAATGTTTTAACTCTTGTTCTTTAACCCTATCCACTCTTACTTGTTAATAAGTCTCACTGAATTCAATAGCACATGCTTTCAAGATCGCTGCACTACAATTGCTTTATTATCATCCAAGATAAAATGCAATTTAGACTGAAAGCATGCTTCTACTTTTTCTTGCAAATATTTAAATGAATACTTCTGGGAAACGCTGATAAAATTTCTTACAACACAGCAAAAAGAAGAAATAGGCACACCACTATGAAACTTTAGAACACTGATGCAATTAGACTGCTTTTTCAATATCTTATGATTTAATAATTATAAAATATAGAAAGTTGCTTTGAAAACAGAAAAGCAGACTGGAATTCATGGTATTCGTGCTTTTGGCAGTGGGATCATTATAGCAAATGTTGTTGCATCTAAGCAGCAGGAGTTTTTCTTTCATTTTTTCAAACAAGTAAGTTGAAAAATTTATCAATTCAAGTAAAAGTCCAGATGAACTATCAGATTTGTGTCAATTTTACTAATTATGTTTCACTTCCTCCAAACAAAGGAAGATACAGAATACAATAAAAAGAGATCAATAAAGAAGTTTGAAACCTACCAATACTGGTAGCGGGTGTCATGCACAAAACTGACCCTGTGTGTCATGCAATGATAGGTGAAAAAAAGTGAATAAAGGGAAGAAACAGGTTAGCTGTTTAGAGTTAACATTCACAGTGAGATCCAAGCATCCCAAGGCTAAGCCAAAGTGCGTTAAATACAACTTCAGAAAGGTTGTTCATAGCTTCTTTGCTATTTTAAAGCATTTCTTTTCCTAAATAGGTACAACAGTGTGCATATTCATCCAAATCCATACAACAAAGACTTCATTTCACATTATTTCAGCAATGGAAAACCCTTAAAAGGAATTGCCCTCAAGAATCTGGGTTATCTAGCAATGGTCTGGACTGGGATCTAGGTATAATGGATCAGCTTTACATGTCATTGAAAATGTCCTCCTATGATCAATAATATGTAATATGGAAGCCCTGGGCTGTAACACCACAAGGGCACACATGGGTGTAACATTCAGGGACCTCAATGCAACTCATTTCCAAACGTACACAGCATTGAGTTGCCCAACTATTATGCGTATACTTTGCTTTATACACTATTATAAAGCAAATTAGGCTTTTCCACTGATAGCTTAGCAAGATTTTTAATCAAACATTGACTTCCTATATTTTTTGCTTAAAAATGCAGTGCAATCCTAAGCATGTTTACCTAGAAGTATGGCCCACAGAGTTAAGTAAGACTTGCACTTTCATGTTCAAGT